ACTCGCTCCAAACTCTCTAAACAGGCTCAGTTTTGTTGCACTGAAGCATATATGCAAACTCACATTCAAGCTGCAGGAGAAGAACTGCGTGGAAGATTTAGTTTACCAACCGAGGCTAAGAGGTTACTTGCTGCATCATGTTTTATTGGATGCCTGCATATTTATATAACACAAAACGGTAATAATTTTCATCTGTTGGGTATTTAAGCCTTTAGTGCCCAGCAGAACAAGCTCACAGTGAGACGGAAGAAAATAAAAGATATGCAACAGAAGATGCTGGACTTGGTTGCATCTTAGGACAAAGACACACATTACACATTTCTCAGGACAAACAATCTTCTTGAAAAGTAACATGCATAGTTAGATCAAGGTAAGTGGAAATAATTCGTTTTAATGCCAGAAATAATAATTTTTCATCTACTTGTTAAATTGTTAATGATGGGGGAAAAAGTAGAGTTCAAATTCTTTTTTAAGTCGGGCTTTTTAGTTCTAATAACCAGACAGCAGCCCTATGTTCAAAAGTTAGTAACTAAAAAATGGTAACAAATACAATGAAAGTAAGCGATCCAATAATTTAATTAGATAAATTACTATTACATATATAATATTTAATAACACTCCCAACACTGCTGAGCTCTCTAAGAACTTGATATGATATTTTATATGATACTAATGGGTGACGCAGAGCATGAATGTAAACACAGACAAACCAGGAGGATCATGTGACAGCCCTGGCAGAGAAGTCTCTTTCTCAAGGACACTTCAGTAACACGGATGACTGCAAACACAGCGAGTTATTTGGTGGAGGGACAGTCTGTCTGACCACGATGCCTCTGAGCTTTCTTTAAAATGCACAAGAAAACTCTGCCCCCTCTCTGATATTAGCGCTGGCTTGTTATTTACTGGAGCCGAGGAAAATCCCAGAGCCCACAGAGGCCCGTCTGAGTCTCTCTTCTGTTGGGCTATCTGTCTCTGACGCTCTGTACCAGCTATGGTACCATGTCATTAACCATCTACTCCGTGTATTTCTTGGAATTTGTAGACTACAGTCCCATCACCATGTTCAGATCATACAGTACAGTGTTGAGCTTCGTTTGAACAGCTCAATCATTATTTAGAACTGTGTCGATCAAAAGCAACACTTATTAGCTCCGTCTCCTGTCTGTGCTTGAGTTACTTAAACTGCTGAATTATTGGTGGGAAAAAAAGGTAATAATGTCGATTCCATTTTGGGTTATACTCCAAGCAGAAAGAGTTAGTTGCATCTTCAAGCAGCTGAGATGATTTCTTCTGTAGAGTGGACTCAGAGTTAGTGTGAGGAGTGCAGACAGCCTGGAGCCGCTGCTCCTTATATCAAAAGGCCAAAGCTGGTGGTTCAGGCATTGGGATGGGACTGGGATGCCACCTTGATTTCAATTCAATTCAATTCAATTTTATTTATATAGCGCCAAATCACAACAAAAGTCGCCTCAAGGCGCTTCATGATACAGAGAAAAA